TCCATTTGTGCTTCTTGTATTAGTTTTGAATTTATGTTTACTTTTTCTTGGCCTCCTCCTTCTTGTCTATGAAATCTGTAGTATTAAATAAAACTTTCCATTTAGCTTAGCTATTTTTTTTCAATTCTCTTTTTGGATTACCTGCAGCTCCTCGCCTTATATCAGTTCCTTAACATAAATTTGTTTGACTTAATTATTTAGTTGCTGACTCGATATTTCTACATTTTTTACATTTTTCAAGTACTCATTTCCTGTAGTCTCTAAGAGAGGGCTTACTTTTCAAGGAGATACGCATAATTTATAATCTTATCCGATATTTTTTTTTTTAACAACGACTTTATCTCTTATAAATCATCAATTGAACACCAAACGTAAGTGCGGCCATAAAAGTTAGAAAATATTGTTTTAAATGATATCTTGGACAATTCAACACACATTTTTCAAATCATATTCTGAACCGTTCACCGCTGATTATTCAAAAGATATTATGGATATGCAACACTGTTTTTGGATACTAAAGATTGCACTGTCCTGATCGGGTAGCCTGGATGAGGAGGTCAAATACAGGCTTTCGAATATCCACATAGAAACTTGGAAGATAGACTTTTGATCACGATCTGTTATCAGAACCACCACCACGAAAATTCAGGTCATTTTAAGTCATGGCATCCCAATGAAAAGGTACCAGTAGGGGGGCTTCAAGGCTATACTTAGAAAGCCACTTCGACAATATGAGGGCGTATAGATTTATATCTGAGAGATGTCTGTGAACGGGCATCTGTCATATATATATATATATATGTGTGTGTGTGTGTGTGTGTTTCTGTGAATATATATGTGGGTATATATATATATATATATATATATATATATATATATATATATATATATATATATATTAAGAAACGGACAAAGTCCGATAATTTATTTTATTAAAAAGACATTTTGTATGTTTAACGTTCTTTTTATAGATACAAGTATTTAAGTAAATGCTCTGTTTATAGGCCGGTAAATGTTATTTAATACTGTTTATTATAAACAGAGCATTTACTTAATACTTGTATCTATAAAAAAGAACGTTAAACATACAAAAATTAAAATAAAATATATATATATATATATATATATATATATATATATATATATATATATATATATATATATATATATATATATATATATATATATATATCTGTAAATATATATGTTTCTATCTCTCTACATATATATATATGTTTCTGTATATATATACATATATATATATATATGTGTGTGTGTGTATCTGTATTTTTCTATATATATATGTTTTGTGTGTGTGTATATATATACAGTGTAATCCGGATATAAGAGAAACCCGGATATAAGAGAGATTTTCTCTGGTCCCAAATTAGAGCGATACTTACCTAAACAAAATAGACCAAACCCGGATATAAGAGAAACCCTGATATAAGAGACTTCTTCTCCGGTCCCGACAACTCTCTTATATCCAGGTTACACTGTATATATATATATATATATATATATATATATATATATATATATATATGGTTATATATATATATATATATATATGGTTATATATATATATATATATATATATATATATATAATACATTTACAATGTTTGTCACTTCAGCATCCCGACTTCAGAGTTTCGTAGACGAAACTTCCTGGAATTACTCCGTCCATTCGTCAGTGAATATCAATACTAATGAATTTATGGACATATTTTTAATGTAACATTTTTTATGACTTGATACGTTATTATAGTGGATTTTCCGATTCGAAATAGACGCCCTATTGAATTCGCATGCCCATGGACGTAATGTATACTGTTTCAAAACAAAAAAATAAACAGGCATCTATTTCAAAAATGAATATCCATTATAATAACTTTTGCAATAATAGGTGTGTGTGTGTGTGTGTGTGTGTGTGTGTGTTATGGGAGAATATGAGATATACATCGGAATAATTTTAGGCAAACTGGAAAAATTCTGTGTAATACGTTTCGACCCCTAGAAAGACTTCATCAGATATATGTATATATTCTAACGTTACTAATCACCTCATGTGTCAGTATATAATAAATTTTTATTTTATGATTTATGTTAAAAAATATTAACTTATATCAAATGAGTTAATATATCAAATACAAAAATTAAAGTAAATTTAGAAGTATTTCTGTATGTCTATATATAAATAAATAACTTTACACGGTCATTTTTATAATGGTGAAATTGTCAGCTTTAGTTTTGTTATGATGTTGATTTGGGGTTAGTAGAGACAAACGCCAAATAACCCGTCACAATAAAAAAGGTTTTAATAGGTTGGTAAAAAGGTACAGAAATCGCCTGAGTAGTCAATAACTTTTATGTCTATCTATCTTCCCCATGTCAACTGAGATGCCACTATTTAAAGTCTTTGTTCACAGACGCAGACAAGTTCATCTTCAAGAGGGGTGGTAGGTTTCCGACACAACAAGTTTGTAACACTTTGAAAAACTTAATAAAATAAACTAAATCTGATTTTTTTTAATGCTGTAATTCTAATATTATAATTTCAGTTTGATATTTTTTCTAATTCAATAATATAATATCACTGATTTAAAATACTGAAATAAGTATTTACATATTTAAGTAAATAAATGAGATATCTGTGTAGTTTTGTTATTTAATTTTTTTTCTTTTATAAATGGGAAAAAGTATTTATATAACTTTTATATTTCTTATTGCTTTAAAAGTTCTTTTTAGTGGGTACAAATAATTGGGTTCCAATCCCTGTTTTTTTTTTGTTTGTTTTTTTGTTTTTTATTTTCGAAAACAATGAAATTTAGGGACCTCCACTAATTCGCGATACCTATGGTTTAAAATGATTTTTTAAAAATGAGAAAAGTTTTCTTGAAGCTTTCATTTTGCTTCAATTGAAAGCTAAAGGATTAAATTTATTATTTACAGTAAGCAAAACACTCTGGTGTATTTCAAACAGAAATTATATTAAATGGGGTCGATTTTTTCTAAAATAGCTGATTAAAGACCTTTTTTAATCTTCTTATATCGCAATGTAATTCTCTGTATAAAAAAACACTTCCAAAAATAAAATATACATTTATGAAATTTTATTTGAGGAATATTACCTGATTTAATGTATAATTAATCTGATTTGAAAAAAATATTATTTACTTTAAGTTTAAAATAACACAGAAATGTATTTTTAAAACAAACAATAGCTGTGATTTTAACCGACCGTCGCTATGTTTTACGTAATTGATGAGTGTTGACAGGTGATGACATATTGATAGTTGTTCTACAAAGACTTTATCTATAAAACATAATTTAAGAAAACCACGTGAGCGCCTTTTTATATAATTTTAAAATACTCAATAATCTTAAAAATGTTGGAAAATATTCTTCGTAATCTAAATTTGTGAATATTGAATTTAAATTTACTATAGTGATCGCTCTTATTTTCTTATAATGTTATGATAGGTCGACCATATTTCAAAAATGGACACGTTACATACAATTTTATATACATAAAACATGAATTAAAAATTATTTTTAAAAACTTTGTACGTGATGATTTGCATTATGCTAATTAAATAATGTCATAGTTTTATTGCATCTTTTTTTTTACGTTCGGAGCAGATTTTCGGGAAATGAGTAGCAGTTTGTAAACAAAAAACTGATGATTTACATTCTCTATGGAGTCCTACTTTTAACTAATAAAACAAATTTTCCGATTAAAATTTAATTTCTCGAAATTTCATGAAATTAAGTGGGTAACATATCTAAAAAATATATATTTTTTACATAGATTTTCTCATCATATTTAGCGATAAATAGACTATTTGTTGCATTACTGATCCGGGATTAAATTGTGTCCCAATTGACTTTCAAGGTAAGGAGCCCTCATTGAGAGTACAAACGCTCATCCTGAATGAAGAAAATTCAGTGTTTGATCGGTGATGATGAAAAGTTGCTTGTTTTTTGAGGTATTGAATGTCACAAGCGATTCATCACCACTGAGCTGTTCAAGTTAGGTCAGAGGAAAGATAAGCTGCCAACCACTGATTATCTAGATGTAGACTTGTTCTATGACCAATTAGACACTAACATTGCCCTGATATCAATTGAATGTTCGCGAGCTGAGAATATTTTTGATGAAATTTCATAGCCACCATGATAATCGCAGAATTAAACTCCATTAAACCTGTGGACATTATCTGTGAACTACCTTTTCATTGCTACTCCTGCAATTAGGGAAAACTGACAAATTTAGTAATATTTTTTACCTAATATTATAACAATATTTTTAAAATCATTAAATATTCAAAAAATATATTATTTTTTTTAAATCAGTTGTATAAATCGGCAAGGTGAATCATGAAAATAAAATCTGCTCACATTCACTTTGAATTTTGTCCCCAACCGCACCCATTAATCGTGGCCCTGAAGTAATCCTCCCTCCGCCACATTCTGATTGCGAGAAATGACACTGGTAGTGCGCATGCGCATAGGGGAATCATTGTTGTAAATGTATTAACAATATTACATTTGGATATGTGTGTGTAAGTGAAGGAAAAAAATTCTTCCTATCAACATGAAACAATCTCCACGGACGTAAGCCATCTTAAGGACACGAATAATTGTAAATTGTGTGTCGGTTCGTATTACTGACACTTGCTATGGTAAAAAAAAATGTCGAATTGTTCTAAGTCGTTCATCTGATGGCAAGGATCCGTACTGCCTCCTGGTATATGATTTCGTATTTATGACGTCACAAACCCTTTCTCGTTTTCCCTATCTCTGCCCTCTCTCTCTCTATCTCTCTCTCTCTCTCTGACACACACACAAACATACACTTACTCACACACTATTTTTATATCCATCTCTCTATCTTCATTTCAGTTTCTTTTATTTACTTTTGGATATTTTAAAACGATTCTTTTTTCAAATTCCGCAATGACCGAGGTATCATTTGACCCGTTAAGCCTTATACGGTTAGGTAAACAGAAACAGGAAAATAAATGACACATACAGAAGCAGATGAGAAGGAAAAAAAACGTCAAGCAAAGCAAAAAATTTATAACCTAAAAAGACAGAGAGATGAAGAAGGTGAGATGAAATTCTAACCGAAATGACAGGATAAGTTATTTCGGAAAAGCAAAGAAAATGAAGATTTTTATTGGCTTGTTTCTATTTGTTTTGTTTTTATCTTTTTATGCTTGTCTTGGGAAAACGTAACTGGAAAATTATTAAATAAGATTTTGATACTTTTACTGGCTTCATGCCTATATACAATCACTGATAGATAGATAGATAGATAGATAGATAGATAGATAGATAGATAGATAGATAGATAGATTCTAAATTTTCACAATAAAATTTATCCTAACCAAGTAATATTGGTGCAATTTTCAAAATATATTTCTATTTATATCAGCGATCTTTCTTTGACTTATTATATCAACCTTAATAAAAGTACTGACAATAACTTTTGAGTGTGATGTCTAGTTCTATTATGTAAGTATTATATATTCGATAAAAATGTTTCTTTATAAAGAAACCCCCTTCATAAGAAATAGAAACCTATAATTGATGAACACAATATTATTATACCTGAATAGTTATTTAAATTTCAAAAGATTTCTCCTATGTATGGCTTTTGGCAATTATTACAAGTGATAGAGTAAATTCCTCCTCCAGGCTTTAGCGTATTATTTTTTTTGTATTAATTAAGCCTTTTATTCTTTTAGAAGTAATTATAACAATTCTTTATATTAAGTTTAGATAAATTCTTTTCTATTGTAGTTGTGATAGGTAGAATAATATATTTTGATTCGTTGAATTTACCAGAATAATTAATGAGTTATTTTATGAACCTTTTGTTTCGCGTTGAATATGAAATAATTGGAAGTGTGTAAAGAAGATGAAAATAAACACAAATATGACAAAAAAAAATGACTTCTGAGTCGGATGTTCCGTGCATCCTTCCAGTTAATAAATTAATCTTTTAAAAATAAATATTTAACATTTTTCAACCAGAGGGTCGCGTTCACGCCAACAATGGGAAGCATGCTTTGTGGTCCCCTTTTAGGAGTATATAAGCAAAGTCACCAAACCAGTAAAGTATAAGGAGAAACAACGACAACATACTGTAACAGATTCACAACATCACGGTTTAACAGAGATTCCCTTACTCATTTACCCGTCTTCCTCACCGAACTATGTGACACTTATACTCTTCCTCACCAAGCTACGTGACACGTACACTCTTTCTCAACAAGCTAGGTGACACTTACACTTTTCTCCTCACTTTTTCCCTTGATTTCTTTTTCTCAGACATACATGCGGAGAAATCACATTCCTTTTCTTTTTAACAAACTACAAACGAGAGATTTTATCACAAGAACTTTAACACTCACATACACTGAGAAAAATTTAGTTGTAAATAAACAAGAAAATAAAAATATTTTCTATCTTTCTTCCTCGCCTTTTTCTTTGTAGTGGGTTGATTCAAATATGCAACAGAGTATTGGAGAAGCTTAAAAGTGTTTGCTATGTATTTCCCCTGTTCATGTAAATATTTTGGGCTACAAATTCTGTGTTCTCTTACCGTTTTCCATTCTCATATATGTTTTCTATGTCTTATAATGGTCACGTTATGAGTGCCACTCTTAAGCTGATACTACATGCCACATTGTTGGGCCATTGACAACTAAACTGGCTCCCCTATCAGGCTTTTCTCTTGGCACGCTGTATCAACGGCCATCTAGCACAACGGATTAGACTGACATCCATAGCTATTTATGCAGCGAAGATCTCACAGCATTGCTGGACGGAGGGCTTTCTAGACTGAAGTCAACGGTTAGTGGAATCAATAGCCACGTGTCTGTGACTAAGGCGAGCCTTCAAGTTGGGGAATATCGACTGTGGTTACAGCTGGAAAGGAATGGTCTTCGTCACGTCTACTGCGAAACGACCCTTCGAACACACCCGGTTCTGGAATTGATGATAATTATTATTAATAATGTCTGACAAGCATTCTATCGGATTATTAGCTGGGGGGAGATATTAATTTATTGGATGTAGCAAAAAGGCAACTTTGAAGAATGCCAAAGTAAATAATATTGGATGATTATGCGCTTTAACTTTAAAATTCTTATTCTTGATTTGAAACGGTCAGTGCTTTGTTCAAGAAAATATTCTCTACACTTATCAAAATAATGTCAACTTTCAAGGTATCTATAATTTTATTCTCTGCAATGATAACTTATAACATTTATCCCCTTCTGTTGTCTCTGAAACTATCCTGATTGATTATTTCCTCGAAAGATAAAAAAAAAATCTACTCATTCGTCTTATCCATCCACTGTAGCTCCAATTTCATCGTGAAAATGTTAGTTTCATATTTCATATCTTTCTTTGTTTACACTTAGAGCAGAAATAAGTACAGATGTAAGAATTTAGATAAAAAATAGTTTGACACGTAAATTTAATGCAGTTTGGCTTGACACTTATGTAAAAATGATTTTTTTCTAACGTTTTTTTTTTTACCTATAACAAACTAGATCCACGTATAAATAATCGTAGAATATCTCATCCCCGGCTGTAGCCAAGAGAATTATACAAGATCCTTTGCAAGAAATGCAGGCGTATCATCGTACAAAAACTTGGGCGGTTGGTAATTTGTTTACCAATTTCTACACATCTGTGGAATATACAGCCTTGAGAACTTTTCTAATACGTCTACACTTCTACAGCTTTGAATTTTTAGCAATCCAGAATGATCCAGAAAGTTTAAAAATTAAGAATTCTAATTATGTATAGATAAGTAGATAATATGTACGTATGTATGTATATATGTATCGTTAATGTGATGTCATAAGCAGAAAATCTCGATTTCATTGGTTAAATAACCGATTAAAATTTCTGGTTTTCGTTTTAAACCGACATGTCTTCGGCTAATTAATAGCGAAGTGCTTTTAAAGCAGACTCTGGAAAACAAGAAAACATTCATTATGCATTTACTCGGACATTCTAGTAATCTATCTGATACGAGTGATATATCTCTTTCTTTCTTCGATTTATTGAATATTAAATTACTAGTGTACCCGTGCCGTCAAAATTGTAGTATAATGTAAAATGTAGTATAAGTAAAATGCATTGTATTATACTGTAAGTATTTTCGTTTAATCCAAGTACAATTGTATAATTTAAAATAGTTCATTGTTAACGTTAATAATTGAACAGTATACAAGTTATAAATACCTCAGGAAAAAAAATATATATGTAGGGTATTATACATATATATATATATATAGATAGATAGATAGATAGATAGATAGATAGATAGATAGATAGATAGATTATGATTCAGAACAAAAATTCCAAGTGAGGAATATGAAAATAGCAAGATTGTTATGCCCTAGTTAACAGATTAGGACTTCTCTAACTCTGCATTACAAATCATGATGTTTACCCGTTCAACAGAGATCATTGACCTGGGCGGAGGGGGGTGCAGTTCTGTGCTACCGTTGTTGAACAGAGATCATTGACCTGGTCGGGGGGGGAGGGTTTGATGCATTTCTGTGCTACCGTTTGTACACAGATACACACACATATCTATATATATGCACACACATATGTTTGTGCAATCTATATACTGAATACAAAAATCATACAGGCTGGACTATATAGCCAAACACATATTAAAACAAAAATTAAATTTTAAATTTTTAGCACCCCTCTCCTTAGACTGTATATGTAGTTACATCAATGTAAACATTACATAAGTCATGAAACGCGTCGCAAGAAAAGTCTTTCTATTTTTCATTAATTTTCCCAATATATATCCATATATATATATATATATATATATATATGTATGTACATATGTGTGTGTGTGTGCGTATGCGCGTTCAAGTAAAATTTCAGATATAATTAAAATATATTATAAACGGACAATATGAATATATTCATATATATATATATATATATATATATATATATATATATATATATATATATATATATACATCATCGTCAGTTGACGTTTCTATGCTAACAGTTAAAATTAAATTAAAAATATATTCTAAACGGACAATATGAATATATTCATATATATATATATATATATATACATCGTCAATTGACGTTTCTATGCTAACAGTTCATTCCTTCACACTACTCACTGATAGAAATCTGTTCCGTCTTCTTGCTTTCCAATCTTTGATCTTCAAAAATTAAAGTGCAATATCAATCGTTATCTTCTGTCTTCTTAATTGCTGTTACTTTATTGTTCTCTCTCTTTAATAATGTATTCTTTTTCTCGTATTCTCTCACACCCAGTAACCCTTTGCGTCTTAGTGGCTTTATTGCCTTGTTTAGGGTGAAATGATAAAAAACATGGAATAAATTTGATTTGATTCACTGACTAGGTTGAGTGATGTGTTCGAGAAACTTTGAAATCTGCCTAAAGAAAAATTGATTGAAATTTTATTAATTTAGTTCCCTACTGTGCACATTCTTGGAAAAATTTCAGCTCGCCTTGAAATATGTTAAGTTTTGGTAATTTTACGTATTTAGATATCTGCCGTTATTTTGTATTCACTCTCTCTCTCTCTCTTTCTCTTTCGCTTTCTCTTTCTCCCTCCCCCTCTTTCTTTCTCTCTCTCCCTCTCTGTATATATATATATATATATATATATATATATAGAGAGAGAGAGAGAGAGAGGCAGAGATTACAGTGGCACTTCGGTCTGGGTATGATGATACATCATTCGACAACAAGGCCTCTGATCGGGAGATTTTGAAGAGTCTAGAATCACCTCTTAATTGCTGTTTATCCCAGGTCCACCCTGACCCTGGGTGGCAGCACCTGTTAGGGTCCCAGCTACGCCCAAATAGTTAAAACCCAAATTGGGATAAAAAAAAAAAAAAAGCTATGAAACTATAAAAATACATTTTTATAGTGAAAATACCAGTAATATATTTTTGCAAAAAACTTAAATTTCGGCATTAAATGACCCATAAGGAGTTGATATGCCGTAAAGTAGTTGCACTTGGCCTGATGACTGAATTGAAAAGAAAACACTTTCTATGCAGTATTGTTTTCTATGACCACAAACTCTATATATATATATATATATATATATATATATATATATATATATATATATATATATATATATACTGAAACTACGTAGACGAAACTATTCAGAAGCCGTCGGTACTTTTGCTAGAACGAAATTCCAAGCTACCTTGGCCGATGATCGAGCGTACTGGACTTCCGCAACTTTCGATTATGCTTAATTAAACGCTTTCTCCTAAGATCTGTTCATCGTATTTGCTGCGTAAATCACAGGTTTTGTGAGTTTTGCAGCAGGAATTATCTCTCCACGTTAGTAGACGGTTGTGTTCGAAAAATGAGCAGCTATTACATATACATATTCTGTGTAAATTGTATCGTTCTCTAGAAGGACACCATTGGAACCTGGAAGATAAAAAATGTTTCAGTTGCTTTAGTGTGTTCTATATATTCTATATACCAATAATAATAATCATAAAAAAAATTCTGAAACAGGTATTGAGTCAATTGCTTCGTCCACCGCGAGGAAAGTTGGCTCTTTGTGCCGCGCGAGGAAATTTTTCTCCCCGGAATCGATACTTCAAATATACAAAACAACCATTCGCCCTTGCATGGAGTATTGCTGCCATATATGGTCTGGAGCACCTTCTGCTTACCTCGGAGTTCTTGACAAGATCCAGAGACGGATATGTAATCTAATTGGCCCTGATCTAGCATCTCGTCTACAGTTGCTCTGTCACAGACGCGCCGTCGCCTCTCTCTGTCTTTTCTACAAATACTTTCATGGCAATTGCTCCGATGAGCTGCTTTCACTGGTTCCCAGACTTCATGAATTCAAGCGCCCTACGAGGCTGGCATTCTGCTCTCACCCTTTCACTGTAGAAACTACTAAATGTAGCCGTCTCTTCTACTCCAATAGCATCATACCTCGCACCTCTCGCCTGTTGAACACCCTTCTCTATTACTGTTTCCCTGAGAGCTATAATCTCCAACTATTCAAATGTCAATCGACACCTCCAGTTACCTTGATCTATCCACTATCCTTCTCCTCATCCTTTCTTCTATCACTCCTATCTGCTCTCGCTCCAAATCTTCTGCAACTCCCTGCATCCTAGTGGCTTCACGCCTTGCTCGGGGCGTAATGCTTAAAAAAAAAAGGTATATATAAAATAAATAGCCAGACTGCTCCTCATAATACATTGGGAAAACTTTCAGAAACCTCAAAAAATATTTAGTCAAATACAAAATTGATCATATACACGACAATTTATCAAATGCATTGGTTATACATAGAAATAAAGTCAACCACAACTTTGATCTAAAGCAGGGGTGGGCAATTGTTTTGGCTGGAGAGCCACATTGTCAGGGTAGTGGGCGGCGGAGAGCCGCGCTGATTCTATTCATTAGTGAACTTGGAGTTTGTTTTTTTCTGAAAGAAATTCAAGCATAAAATTCAATAAATAAAACTTAAACAATTCAGATAATTTTATTCTTTTATGAACAAATTTTCTATCACATTTACTTATTTAATGGGACAAATATATCCTATCACGGCTTTTAACAATTCTTTTGAAATCTGGAGTGAGGTTGCTTGTTGAGATCCTCACTACTGCATGCAAATTGATGTCAGTTAAAGAGCATCTATATTTATTCTTGTTAATTTTCATGCAAGAAAAACTTGTATGTTGATCCAAATATACAAAACATTTTCCCAGCAAATCTCTTCATACATGGAAATTTATCAGCAGAAAATGATTTATAAAACTAAATGAATGTCTCAGCATTATACATTTCTTTCATTGTGTGATCATTTTAAGATAACAAATTGAATTAAGGCTCAATTTTCTTGGAGTCCTGAAATCTTCTTGTAATTTCGTCCTCCAAACTCTGCCAATAACCCCTGATCTTAGCAGAAACACTTTCAGACACTTTCTCTTTTCCTAATCATCAAAAATTGCCCTCATCTGCTTGCCTTACAAATAAGTCTACTTTTGTGTTGAAAGATTTTACATTTTTCCACATTTCGTGCTCAAATAAGCTCTTTCTCTTCAATGTCACATTCAATCATTCAGTTTGTCAAATATGTCGCCTGTAAACATCAGCTCATATCTCCACTCGTTACATTCCATTTTGGTCACAAAATCACATGAAATCCCATTCTTATCTAGAAATAATAGAATTTCATCTTGTAATGCCCAGACTCTTTTTATCACATTACCCAAGCTCAACCACCTCACACTGTTGTGATAAATCACGCTTTCATATTCTGACTCAATCTCAAGTGGAGATTTGAACTGGCAGTGGTTGAATGCTCTTGCTTCTATTGCGTCCACCACATTCACAACTGGATTGATCACATGCTTTAAGTCTAGTGCTGCTTTACAAAGGCTTTCCTGGTGTAAGATTCAATGGAAAGTCAGTATATCACTGCTCAAGTCTTTTGCTTCTAATTTGTTTTTTAAAAGTTTAATCATTCCTACATTTTTTCCATTAAAAGCTCTGGCCGCATCTGTGGTTATACTTATCATTTTATTCCATGGCAAGCTACGTTTCTCAACACAATCCATAGCACATTCAAACAGGTCCTGACCAGTGGTTGTATTTTTCATTGATTCCAGACCAAGTAATTCCTCTGTAATTACGAAATTTGTATCAATTCCAGGCTAAAGACAAGTAATTGTGCAGTGTCTTCATTATCCCTGCTCTCATCGAGAACCAATGAAAATTAAACTAAGTTTTTGCTTGCTGTGTTCTGCCGTTCTTTGATTTCTCCACTTATTAAGTCAATGCATCGTACTGTTGTCATTCTTGATAGTGAAATATTTTCAAATTTCCCTTGAACTTCAGAACACGCTACACGTACACAATTCACCATGCACTGCTTCACAAACTCACCATCCGTAAATGGCTCGTTGTGTTTGGCGAGGACGTAAGCTGCAATGAAACTGGCCTCCGTATCACTATCATGAAGACCAGCTTGCTTGATGAATACTGATTTTTGTTTCTTAAGCTGCGTAACATAATCTGCAGCTTTTTTTCTTACGTTTTTCTTCAGAAACATTGTTGCAAAATTCTTCATGTCTATTTTGGTGATTCATGTTATATTCCTTAAATACAGCAACTGTTTCATTGCAAATTAAGCATACTGCTGTATTAACTGTATTGCAAATAGAGTATTTGTGTATCCAGTCGTCATTAAATACACGGCATTCATCACCCACCTTGCGCTTCTTTGAAGGATTCATAGTTCCACGAGGTAGAAAATTCACTGACTTAACTGTTACAAGGACAAAATCGAAAGAGAAAAGAAAACAGAAAAGTGGGTAGGTTGGCTGATTGCGCATGCGTAACGCGTTGTTAAAACGGGTCCGAATCTAATGCACAAGGAGGACAAGTCTCGGCCCAAGACGGCGGCTTACTTTGACCAGGTTATGAAATATTAGATGTGCTTTTTTTATCAAATGTCTCGACGGGCCGCAGAAAACTCAGCGCCTGGCCGCAGTTTGCCCAGGCCTGATCTAAAGAAGGCCACACTTATAAGAAGAGTAAGCAACTAACTTAGACGGAAGATTCTCGAGAGTGACGATAGTGTATCTTACCAAAATATAAATCTGCACACCGTATCTTTTCCAATATTTCCATTCTTGAAAGAAATATTATTGTCTTAAGCAAAAAAAAGCGGTTAAATTCAGAATCTCATGTTATTTAGAATATATGACGTACAAATTAACTCTAAACTAAAAAAAAATTAAATTCTAATTTGCATTAAAAAAAATTCAATAACATCATTTACACATGGTTTGGCTTAGTATCCTCTATAGCTTGCCTGGACTTTTCAGTTAACCTGATGAATATTTAGGAGAGTTCTTAAATTCAAAAATTTCGAAAAGCCAAAATACTTTTTCTCTTGAGAGATGTAACATTCTCAGGACGACCCTCTTTCTAGCATCCCACAGTATATATATATATATATATATATATATATATATATATATATATATATATATATATATATATATATATATATATACGAGGTGAAGAAGGGGTGTATCGACGCAAACTAATTGGAAAAACATTAATCTTACAGAACAAAATATTTATTTTTAACGTGATCTCTTGCTTGTCAATGAACTTAATTCTGCGATGAATATTAATGACATAGAATATTAGACAATGAAACCTCCATTCAGACTTCGTGTCAGCCTAAGAATTTATTGATTCACATTCATATATATGTGTTTTGTGTTCATATATATATATATATATATATATATATATATATATATATATATATATATATATATACATATATATGTATACACATTATATATGGATTCATATAATATATATATATATGTATATATGTGTGTGTTCATAAATATATATATATATATATATATATATATATATATATATATATAAACATTATATATGGATTCTTATATATATATATATATATATATATATATATATATCATGTTAGGACTGTTTTGAATTGGCCCAGTGCCTCCACCAACAGCTTCTCTTACATGAATCAAAAGAATACGCAGCCCCTACTGGGTAGATTTCCACTTGGTAACTTGGTTCTGCAATTCTTTAGGGATTTCTTTGGGGACACAGTTTCGCTCGTTGGGAACGAGAATAATTGATTATCCTTTTTTCCTGTTGACTGAATTCACCATGGAATTAAGTGTTCCCGCTTTTTTAACAGGGACAGGGAACACGAAAATTATCAGGGGACAGCAAAACTTATTAAGAATGAAATCATAGAGAAGCAAATGTGTAGAAGGAAAGTACATGAATAAAAAGAAATAAATACGTGCTCAATTTTGAACGCGAAGGGGTCGTTGGATTTCTATGCCTGATTTGGGCTGTCACGATGTCATATCGTGTCTTTCATGACAAGTAAAATTATTTGTCGGTGCTCATTTCTACTCCAAATATCATTGCCACTTGTAGGTCTTCTGTACATTGAACCAATAATAAAGTGTCCTGGGTATGACGATAAACTACATTCTGCAGCAAGGTCTCTGATCGGGGGTTGAGAAGAAACCACCTCTTAAATGTTGTTTTTCCCAGGTCCAACCTGGCCGGGGTGTTAGCACCTTTTAGTTAACCTAACCTGGGATCAAAACACTATGAAAGTATACAAATTCGTATATAGTCAAAAATACCGGCAATACATTTTTTTAAAAATAAATAAAAAGTTACCAGCAATACATTTTTCTCCTACACTTTCTTAAAGAAATTAAACTGCATTCCAAAATATAAATTCAACAAAACTACAACATAAATCACACATCACCACCTCCAGTCCTTATGTCCATACAAATATGTATATACACAAAAGCTGAGAATTATCTACCATGTATTCAATTGTGAAAGCAGAATAATAACATCGCTTTAAAGCTTCCAAGAAAATTAAATTTTCGGAATTACATGACCCATGAGGAGTTGATATGCCGTTAAACAAAACAAACAAACAAACAAACAAAACCAATAATAGAGATTATAATAATTCCAGAACTGCTCACGAAATGCTCTTTACCAGCAACGACAAAATTACAGTCAAAATGACTGGCGATAGGTCAACATCGAAGAGGTCGAACAATTTGCATTTCCAGAGGCATTTATATTAAAATTATATAAACGATCTTGATGGGTGTTCAAACAATATTCGACCGATTTATAATTAATTGATTGATTTGTTTATTACAGTTTACTAACTATTCGAGCTTAATAACATTTTTGTGTGTTATTTAATGCTGAAATATATTTCGGATTTTAGTAGGTTGCTTACAGTAGCAGGTGTTCCAAAAAGGTCCCCCATTCAAGTATTGACCTAGATCGGCACTGCTTAACTTCGGGAATCGAACCAGAAACGATGTTTTCATCGTGATTTCATCGTAAACTAAGACGTTCCCCTGGACTTGCAAAGAAGAAAACAGAGAGAAAAATGATATTACCAGGAAAAATGTAAAAGAAAATGTGATAGTGTTGCTAACCTTGAATGCAAACAAAGAAAAACGTGTTATTGTATATAAAGAGAAAAAAAAGAAGAAAATGTTGATATTTTTGGTAGCATTTATATTAAACAAAGGAAAAGAGAAGAAAAATGAAAATATATTTTTGCTAACCTTGACAGCCAATAAAGAAACAAAAAGTCATTGTAAGGCGGTGGGAGAAAATATCTTAGGCGTGCGCAAAATTTTCCAGCATTTCCTTCATTAGTTACACAAGAAGAATTATATTTATATTAATAATAACATTTTTTTTTATATAGCCTTTTGCTAAAATTCTAGAAAATGTTCGATTTCCGTCTCATATTATTCTTGCTTCAATGCGATAAATTCGTCAATGCAATTTGAAAATCGAAGATATTTTTAAATTTTTTAAACAGATAAATAAAGCTATTTGGTTGAGTCAGTTAAGAATAAATTTGAATTATGCTAACAAACCTGTTTTGCACGTCAACAGCAGCGTATACAGTGAATTAAAGGAAACATATTGCCCACTTCAATGACAGCACAAGGTCATATAGAGCAAAAAATAACACAAAAAATCTGTGGCTCGGTTGGTCTGTCCTACCGTACCAGCAAAATCCGCCTGACCTTCCTACGAAACGACTATTATCTCATGAAATTTGAAAGTTGCGTGTTGGTGCATGATAGGTGATGTGCATGATCACATGTAAACAAGGACAAGCATACAAATTTTGGGTTTCTACTACAGACCAATTTTGTAGTTGTCATACCTGAACGTAACTATTCTATTATTAATAGACTCTCCCACACATAATAAGTAGCAGTAGTAGTAGTAGTAGCGGTCGACTGTTGGGCTCAGTGCTGTTGAGTGAGTTAGTCGATGTCGGACATTGAAGTATCAACCATCACAACTAGATTGCTGCGTCATTAACTCTTATTTCAAGTTCCTAGCGTTTTGTACGTCGGACCCTTTTTAGGACCGACTTAGTACAAATACAAGCCTCCTCTGTGAAAACTACTCTACAACAGTAGTGGAGTAGGGAAACGAAGTTTTTAATGTCCATTAGGTGTGTCCGTCTACTTTTTCTGGTCCAGAATTAAGTTAGGCTACCCTAAGAAGCCGAAGAGGCTACCCTAAGGATAAGATTTTTTTAAAACGGTTAAAGTCATCTCTTGGGTAGAGTTGGAACGACTAAATTACCTACTTCATGAACGGAGCTGCGAATCACATCCAAACGATCTGCGTTGGAAAATGGTGAGAGAAAGGTTTAGTCCCTTTCGGAAGGGTTATAAAAGTGCGTAGATTAACAAAAAACATTTCTGCTTTCTTACTTGCATCATGGAAAAATGTGTGTATGTATATGCATACACACACACACACACACACACACACACACAGATAGATAGATAGATAGATAGATAGATAGATAGATAGATAGATAGATAGATAGATAGATTAAAGTGAAGAGTGAAACCGCAAACGTTTTGGTTATAATGTGTATTTTTTTGAAAATATATATTTTACCTTTATTTTCCATATTTTTGCTACACACGTTTCTGGTCTCGCAACCTTCATCAGGCAAAGAGTGGTTATTTCCACATATTATTAAAAGGAATTGGTTTCCCTTATGCTTTCTGGTATATAAACATTGTCTTTGTGTGTAGTAATAACCCAAATTTTTCTTGGAACAACTATAAACTTTCCCTCATATTCATATATATATATATATATATATATATATATATATATATATATATATATATATTCTTTATTATTATTTTATTTATTGATTTTATTTCATTTTCCTTTTTTGATTGCTACTTAAAGCCTTGAGAGCAAACTTTCTGTAATGAAAACCAAATTCAAGTGTTCCTGGAAACACTTTTCACATCCAAACGTAGGGAAGTTTACTAAGATATTAAAGTGCTTCCTGATTAGTAGCAACACTCATTGAAAATAATGGTGAATATATAACTTTATTTTTTGAAGAACAAAGCTGATAAAAAACAGAAATTATTTATGCGCCAACCTAATACATTGACCAGATATGTAATACCATATTGACAGAAACAAAGATAATACGATGTCACCTAATCTATTTAATATCCTGCGCAAGGAAGAATCCGAAATCTGTTATTTTTTGCCAACAAGAAATTGTGTGCCCGAAAGCTATTATTACTTTCAGTTTCCTTGTCCTATAAATAGCCTTTTTATTCTCTTTACTTGCAAAAACTTTGGAGATAACTTCAAGGATGAAGTAGAAGTATCTCTAGTAGAAGTATCAGCAATTTTTAATATAGTGACTTCTATATAGTGCGTCTTCAACGTCCCATGATACTATACACATTCCATATTCCATAAAATACAGTAATAACTTAGTAATGCCACAAATATTAATTTGGGCTGCTAATGCAGGAGACTGTCCTTAAACCACCTCGATTTTCTAAGCTCCTAATTATGATTAACAAACCTACATTTTATCTCCAGTGATAATCTTGATAATCTTGCACAAAAAATAACAAATAACTTTAATGTCTAAAAAGATATAGATGTGTTGTGAGACGCTAGCCATTGGTCCATCCAGACAATTATGCGGAATCCATTTTTCTCCATGGCTTTAACCTTCTTCATACTATGCAAAACGTTTTGCAACTATTACATGATTGACAAGGTTTTCTGATAATTCCTCACATCCAAATTCCTGCAGTTTGCCGCTGCGTGCTTTGTATTTCAAACCATTTCCGACTTTCTTGAACCTCACAAACAATTCACGACATGCACTGCTGACAGAGAAACTAACGTTATTGGTTACATCAATCATTTTCCTTTCGGTCGATGGTTACCCAAACAGTAAAGAAGCAACCTGAAGTGTGGCAGATGTATTTTTTAGCTGCTAGTTTTTTTGGTTCCAGCAAAATTTGTACCAAAACCGAAAAGGAAAGACTTCAAACTGGTTTTCATCTCAGATTCAGTGTCGATTTAAAAAAAAAAAAAAAAAAAAAAAAAAAAGGCTGTAAAAAGATGTACGAGAAAATAAAAAAAAATTAAAAGAAAACCAAAAATAGAAAAGGGGAAAACGATTGGTGGTTAATGCATAAGAAGTTTCTCGTCTTGGGAAATGTAAGAAGAAGAGAGACAAATGGAGTTGGAGAGATAGAATGTAAATTACAAAGAGAGATGATTTGCTGAAAAAAAGTGAAGAAAAGATTTGTATTAGAATCAATCAAGACGAAAGTATTACAAATATCAACAAGTATTTTTTTTACTAAATGTTCACCAAATAAAAGGCCCAAGAGCCACTCAAGATAGAGTCCATTCCACGACGTAATGGCTCCAACTTTCCAGTTTGCTTATCTCTCACAATACCTCTTACAAAATGTCGGGTCTCTTGTCAATCGTTATACATTCTACATATCCTCATTACCTGCACTTACTTCCTTCTCTTAAATCGATAAAACAACCTTATGCACGATCCCACGATCTAGAGTGGCTTTTGGGCCTTGCATTGGGGAAACAATAGTATAAAAAAGTCATGTAAAATTACAAAAATATTTTATTGCATGAGAAAACTAAATGGAAAATATAGAAAAGAAGTGAATTAAGGTATGTATATGTAGATATCCTTATCATATGAGGAGAAAGTATGTGAAATTTACATTTAAAAAAAATTCGTTATCTACTGATAGACGGTTACAGTGTAAAAGGCGCAGCTTTTGCGGATATGTTGGGAAGATAAGGATTGAAGCTGAACAGGTTAAGATTGTAGTGATCGGGGAAGCATCCTATTTGGAGTCCATTCCACAAAGCAGTGGTTTGTGGAACGAAGCTGCTCCAGTGGAACTTAGATCTCACGAATGGAATACGAAGTGAATAATGGCGGTTCATATTCCTACCAATGTATAAATAAATTAGCAAATATTATATATTAAATAAACGTAATTAAAGTAATGCAAAAATAATTCACAAAAATACATAAAATATTTGTAATAAACACGCTTACAAAATGATACTTTTTAAATAACAATTGATGTATAAACACTTAACTTAGTTTACAATGATTTTCACCCTCTACAAGGCCAGACACTCGAAGTAGTAAGATGCACAGTTTTGGGGGATATGTGAGGAAGATAGCAACTGACCCTAGACTTGAACAGTTTAAGATTGTAGTGATCGGAGAAACTTCCTATTGAGTGTCCGTTCCACAAAACAGCGGTTCGTGGGAAGAAGCTCTTAGAGTGGAACTTAGATCTCACCAATGGAATACGAAGGGTTGTTCGCTATAATGCGCGTGGTATAGTGGGGTTTAGCCGCGAAATTTTGGTGGAACTAAGGAATGTAGTTCGTCTGAGAACTTTTCGTGGAAATAGCGATAGAGCAGTTAAAGGCTTGCTAAGTTTCGTCTGTGGGAAAGATGTTGCCAGGTGGAAAATAATCCATCACCTGCAATGATGCAGAGATGAAAATACTTTTAAACTCAAGGTTTTAGCCTTCTTCAGAACATCTCCCTGTGTAGGCTATATAGTTACGGATAGGCTTTTCTATTTTTATGTTTTCATTCAACGCATTTTCCATCAGAATACGGGCTATTTCTTCCATGTCTACGACAAATACAAACTTCATAGACCAGATATAAAATAAGAGAATTTGATAAACTTTCAAAATGTAAGGGCCTCGTAATATAAATTACATAAATAGGCTATTATAACACAACCGATATCCCGATAATAATAAGAGCACTAGGAATTATTAAAGATAACACTGAGGCTCTCATTCAAAAATCTAAAGTAATACATTGCTATCTGAGATACAAATGACTGTTCACACACTAAGAAAAAACTCTCTCAACATAATATATTCAATAACTTTCTAAGAGAAGCCTTCCTTTACATCGAGTGTTAGGTCATTTTTATTTGTTTTCTACGGCTTATCAACCCTTTGCAGATTAGTTAAGCCAGAAAATATTTCAGATTGTAAGAATTTTTTAAAAAAAAAAATAATAATGGTTTCGTGATACAAGTCTTACTAATTAACCCATAGCTAAGGGGAAGTGGATTCATGCCTTTCCCTACGGTATTTGTGCGTAAGTGAATATAACGAACCTGACTGAAATTGGAACTCGGCTCTCCGATTAACAATTCCGAGCCATTATCCATTATATCACACGCGCATCCAAGCTTACAGCACTTGGTATTCCCAAACGTATTAGATAAGAGACTTCGCAAAGCATTGTATCAAAGTGCACATAAGAAAAACGGGTTTCAGATAAAGATATCTTGGTAAAGAATTGTATCAAACAGAAGATCGGGACTACTGGAAATATACAAGTAAAGTATAATACACCAACTGAAGCTGCAAAATAATTTATAAAAAAAGCAAAGGCAAATGTAACCAACCAAATAGAGAAACGATAGCAAGATAAAACGCTTTACGGTCAATACTCTGCCCCTACCAAACAAGTTTATGTAGATAAACCCCGTACCCATCAGTGGCTAAGTAGTGCATTGTTAAAAACTGAAACTGGAGCTTTTATTCTTACCACACAGGACCAATGCTTGCTAACTAGAAATTACCAAGCACACATACTGAAAATTGTGTTAGTTCAAAATGCAGATTCTGTGATAAATATCCAAAAACAATTGTATCAGGTTATGCGGTATTGGCATCCACTGAATATAAAACATGGCATGACAGAGTGATCCAATATATGCATTGGAAAATCTTTTACGGAAAGGAAAACTGCAATAAATGGATATGAACACCACCCAGACCCGGTTACGGAGATATGGCCTATAACAATTTTATGGGACTTTACAATAGACACAAACAGAACAATGAAAGCTAATCGTCCTGACATCGGGATTAGAGACCGGAAAGACAAAATGTGCCTCCTTATTGATATGGCCGTCCATGCAGACCGTAATGTATCTCTGAAGATCTTCAAAAACTGTCAAAATACACGGACCTTGAAATCGAAATCTCAAAAGTGTGTCGCATGAGAACACTAACAATTCTAGTTGTAGTTGAAGCCCTCGGTTTAATTGGGAAAAGATTCTAATAGTCTCATTGAAGGAATCCCTGGTAGGCCATGCCTTAAAGAAATACTAAAAATTGTACTCACAACTACAGCACACACCTTACAAAGAGCTTTATCTGTGTAAAATATGCGCGATTTTGTTTTTGAAAACTGCTCAGAGGAAAATATCATGGTGCCATTTCTGACTTTAGGTCCCTGGTCGGGACCCGAAAAGAAATAAATATACACCAGAAACCAAACGAAATAATAATAATAATAATAATAATAATAATAATAATAATAATAATAATAATGTAGGTATCCGTTTATCTCGCGAGAGAGAGGTATCAACCTGTTTCGTGGTGAAACTCGAGTGAGCTCTCCAGAGTACAGCCTGGGCGATTCATATACGAAGGTCGCAAGCTGTCCAGACCACAAGCCATCCGCTCTTTGACGTATCGATAAGATCTAAAGGAATATAGGGCATTAAATATGGGGCCAGTTTGGCTGCAGATGTTGCCTGAAATTTGACAGTCAACCCGCCTTCGGGGCGCCATTCCAGATGTTATGTCTAAATGTACTTAAATAGCCTTTTTCGTGGTTATTTTTCAGTATTTTTAATTTTTTTTTTTTTTTTAATAGTGGAGTTCACACTGTACAAGGCCATAAACGGTTACATTAAGAGGCACATTATGCGGATAGCATAGACTTGAACAGGTTAAGATTGTAATGATCGGGGAAACATCCTCTCAGGAGCAGTGCTTCGAGGGAAGAAACTGCTCGAGTGGATCTGATTACTCACCGATGGAATACTGAAGGAATGTTGGTGCTTTGCTACAATGTAAGTGGCATAGTGGTTCCTAGGCCTGGAGGTTAGAGCTAACGGAACCAGGAAATGCAGTTCGTTCGACCACATTTCAATAAAAGTAGTGATAGAGCAGCTGCAGACTTGCCACATCCCGTCTGTGAGGGAGAGATGTTGGAAAGTGCAAAGTAATTTTTCGCCCACAAGGACACGGAGAAGCTTCTGAACTCTATCTAGACTGGCAAGTGAAGCTCCTGCCAAAATATGACAGCAATACTCCATTTTCGGTCAGATCTGAGGATATCACGTGGAGTCAGATACTTACTGGAGCGGTACCGGAAAACGATCTTTTTTTTCTGCATCTTTAGTGATGTACGAGTTTCACTTGTGGTCAGGGATGAGTTTAAGGCCCAATACTCTCTCAAATCACAGAGACTCCCCGAAGGTATATCCATTCAGCTTGACTGGTGGTAATTGATTTTTTCCTTTCCCTACATGGACTGCCTCTCCGGGCTGACGAGTTGATCGAACCGAAACAGTTGATTATGAAGCGCAAATAATAATAATAACAATAATAATAATAATAATAATAAGAAGAAGAAGAAGAAGAAGAATGAGAAGAAGAAGAAGAAGAAGAAGAAGAAGAAGAAGAAGAAGAAGAAGAAGAAATAGTATTTATATTGACATAATCTATGCAAGAATGACAATTTGGTCGCTTAAGTCTCAAAGAATATATTAAATTTATAAAATTCAGATACAAAAAAAACATGAAATAAGTGCTTGTCACGGTGAAGAGAGTGATAAAATTAATCAAGAAGAGCATAACTGAACAAGAAGTAAAAAGACGGACACAAAAGGCGATCAGAATCTATTTGCATAGATATGTAAAGAAGGTGTGCAGTGGAAACTGACACCTCTTATCAATTCATCCAAGAATAAATGCATCAAGATCAGTTAGATCAGAGCAAAACAGGATATTTTTTTTTTAAATGTTGCATTTATTCAGAATGAAATCAAACCGCAAACAACAAAATAAATAAATATTAAACAACTGCACAATAAAAATATCAAACCAAATACAACAAAATAGGAACAGTGATAAAATGGATATTTTACAAAGGATTTATTCACGTATTGGTGTTTTTTACAACAAATATAAACCCTTAGTGGTCTCTTTAACATCGAAAATTACTATTTTTACGATACTTGAGTCTACAGGTAAACATTGCTAATTATAAGTAGATAAGTAAAAATTGGTCGTTTTTATTCTTGAGTCTATAGGCTAAGATTGATCGGGTTTATATTAGAGTCTACTGGTAAATTTTGGTCGGTCCTATACTTGAGTCTCGAGGTAAACATTAATATACTTATACTACAGTATATTAATAAAACTATAGTTTAAACTAGTATTTTATCCCATTAATTTCAAGTTTCGAATTCCTTACATTCATAAAGAAAAGTTATGCATCCATCACTTCTCCCCCCAGCTATGGGTTAAATAGCAGGACACACTGGGTTAAGAACCTTGATTAGTAACCAGTCTACCGAAGAAAATATGGCAACCTACTGTATTGAGGGTCATGGATCGAAAGAGGCATGATCGCCCAAGCGTGTATCATGTATACGACTTCAACCTTGCCATAAACAAGATAGTGGACAACAGGAGGCCATAGATAGAAATCTACAATGAATATCGGATTATTATTAATTATCGGATTATTATTAATTCTTGATTTTCATATACCTGTATTTAATCGTGGATTATTTATAAAGCTATAACTAATACCAGATTTTTAGAAAACCTATAATTATTAACATGCTTTTAGAAACCTATAACTACTAATGAATATTTATAAACGTAATTAATAACTGGTTTTAGAAACCTATAAATAGTATCGGGTTTTTATAAGCCTATCATTAATAACGGAGTTTTCTAAACCTATAATTAATACGAGGTGTATTAGAAACCTATAAGTAGAAACGACTAATTAATAAGGTATTTTGTGAGCCTTTGATTAATAATGATTTTTATTTATAAACTTGTCATTAACAGCCTTGAAGTATTTAGGAAGAATATTAAAATAATCCAGATCTTATACTGGCATCAAACCGCCCCGCGTTGGAATAGAAAATGAATTCAGTAATTATACAAAAATAGAAAGAGGTGTAAGACATGGATGTATCTTCTCACCGGATTTATTCAACCTATACAGTGAGGCAATTCTGAGAGAATTAAAAGTTCTACAGAATTCATTATTGGCGGCCATAATCTTAACAATATAAGATATGCAGAGATGTTTCTATTTTTGTATATTTACTGAATTCATTTTCTATTCCGACGCGATATGGTTTCCTGCCAGTATAAGTTATGGATTATTTTAATATTCTTCCCAAATACTTCAAGGTTATTAATGACAGTGTCGATGGCAGGCAAGAATAGAAACGAGAAAAACTTCTACAAAAGGCAACGAATGAAAACGAGAAGAAAGGATTAAATATCAATTGCAAGAAGACAAGATTCCTGGTTATCAGCAAAAGAAACGGCTAATTATAGATTGGAGAAAATACAACAAACACAATATTTTAAATATCTGGGAAACTGATTAGAGAAATGGAAAGGTTGCCTTTCAAAAGCTAAGCAAGGTATTAAGAAGCATAACAATTTCGTTAAAAACAACAACAAAAAAGAGTATTGAACTATTACGTAATATCAGTCCTCCTGGCAATCTCCTTATAGACGAAAAGTCTAGAAGCAACAGAAATGCGGTTCTAGAGAAGGATGCTGGAAATACCATGGATCGAACATATGAATAAAGATGAAGTCTG